CCATTTTCATTCCAGGTTGAACTCTCCTCAATATTTCTCTTTATTGAATTCAGTTCTCGATTCCTGTACTGTCTTTATTGTTTTATTTACCTTCGGTTTGTTCTATCTTGAGCACTACCCAGGCATCTGCTTTAAGTTCATTCCTTTTACATTCATTGACCTGTTTCCTGGTATCCTCTAAATTTATTGGATTTTTTTTGATGAAGTTTTTTATTGTTCTTTGAATTTCTGTGCTCTGGTATTCATCTAGGTAGCTCTCATGATACAATTTTACTATAAGACTGGTAAACTGGGGTGGGGTATACTGGGCTTGGTTGGTGCACAGAATGTAAAACCTGACCCTTGCCTGAAGTTCGGCAAAGGTGTACTGGGGTTCCTCAGACGTGGCTGGTGCATTGGATGTAGGACCTGGTCTAGGTCTGGGGATGGGGAAGATGCAGGCAGAGTAGGGTCATACATATGGACTCATCACGTTAAGTAGGGCCACGGGAGGCACAGGCCATGAGTATGGACTATGTTAGATAAGAACAGGCCAACACCTATTATGCTATAAAAAGTCTTAACCACATAAGCTAACAATACAAAATGAAAGACCTGACAACTTTATGTTTTAAAACTATAGGTTCCTGGGAATATTCAATGGGCAGGTTGGACTGCTCGAAGGAAAAATGTTCTTAGATAGATATTTGTTTTCAGAGAGTTTGCTGAGAGTCAGCAATAACACCTTTGAGAAAATTAGGACACACAATTTAATACTGAAGGAAGCCAAATAATGCTTTACCTACAATAGCAGGCCCCTTTAATCCTGTGGGTAAACCCTGAAGCAGGGGTAGTACATCAGAATAGTCCATGTTTTAAGAAAGAAGGATCAACTGACTGGGCTTCTTCAGGGCAGCTTCCGTACTTTTGTTCTTTCATTTATCCAGTGTTTCATGGGGCAGGCTGCCTCCGTAGGCAACAGTCAACTCCTCACAGTGACAACAAGGTACTCAGATGTGAGCCATTAGAAGGCAAAGCTACTGATAACCAAGGAAATAAATGACTGAGTTCTCTTTTTATTATACCCATGAATGCATTTATTTATCTTTCAGGTGCAAGTGCATGCTTTCATGCATGTGTGTGCGTGTAAGTGTGTGTGGTATGTATGTGCTACACTTCTCCTATGGAGACAGAGGACAACTTGTGGGAACTGGTTCTCTCCTTCTACCAACTGGGTCCTGTGGCTCCAATCCAAGTCATCAGACTTGGCAGTAACCATTTTTACCCATGAAATTCATCTCACTAGCCTATACCTCAGTTTTTAAAGGGATGTATTAATGGGTAATCCTAATAACCAGTACTAGAGATATACATATTTAACAAATATGAAATAATACATGAAAACATATCATTGTTGTACTTATTACCATCATTCATTATTTAAACATACAGTATTTACACAAAATTCAAATTTAACTGGTTATTATACATATGTTAGAAGGTAATTAAAATAATAAAGTTCCAATGTATTTTCCCTTTGTTGTCTCACACTTCAGACTGTACTAGTCCCACACTGATATGGAAGAGAAAAAGTAAAAATCGCTTAATCTCAATTTTTATTGAGTTTTGCTTTAATCATAATCCCAAGATTATCTAGCGATAGAGATTCGACACCCTTTACTAGGCACTGACACATGAAGCAGAATAATGCCCAGAAAGAACATGCTGGTGGTGTTAAGGAGCCTGGGTAGTGGGAAAGACACAATAGACAGTAAACAGAAGATGGCCAAGCGGAGGAAACCAGTGGGAATGGAAACAGATGTCACTAATATCAATTCTGAGGATTTAGTAAGAATATATGGTATAAAATAAGCACATAAAACTTCTCTTAGTTTTAGATAATAGAAGACAGAAATGGTACAAAACATGCACGAAACAAACAAAGGAAACAGTTTGGACAGCAAAAAAGTTCTACAATTGTTGTCACTCATCAGAATGCATAATATATGTGAATAAATAGCTAATACATTACTTCAAGCTGTTGTTGTTGAGAAGGTGATTATTTTCCACTAAATATATTGTACCTGAGATTTCAAAGATATTTTTATACACCTGGCATTTCTACTAGCTGCACTCAGAATGCTAAATTATGCTAGTTATTCTAGTAACTAAGATACACATAAATCCTAGGAAACAACAAATTTCAGATAGAGAATTTTTAAAAAAAATATTTCTATTTTTAAAGCGTGTTTGTCTCCAATATCGGTCCTAATTCTCTTCCATTTAAAACATTTATTTTGTGCTATCTGCACCACTAAATATGCTCCTTAAAGTCATATTATTTTCCATTACATGAAGGAAGTAGCCACCACCTCTATAACTTCAGTGTTGCCTCCCAGTACAGGTATTCTCCCACTTATTCCTAAACTACATCATCCTGCATATCACTCCTACATTACCTAATTCCAGGTCCATCCAGATCTTATAAGCCTGTGTGTGAAATATAAACCAATTAATAGCAGAGATGCTTGCCTTTTGGTGTGTTAGGAGGATAAGAAAAATAAGTCAATATAAATAAGACTTTTTTCAATGTTAAAATTGAAAATATATTTCGATTAAAAATTTTTATGTGATGTCATTTTTGTTTCTATGAGTAATATTTTATCACAAATAACTTAAGTATAGTCATTAAGACAGTAGTTCTCAGCCTGTGGATTGTGAAGTGTTTGGGAGTTGCAGATCAGATATTTGCATTACAATTCATAACAGTAGCAAAATTACATTTATGAAGTAGCAATGAAAACATGAATTATGGTTGTTTGCCTTTGTTTAGAATGTTGGTTACAAGTTGTTACGGATAATGGCCAGGAGAAAAGCTCATCAAAGGAGATTTGATTCAGAGTTCTTGCTTTTTTTTAGAAAAAAATAAAGGGAGGGGATGCTGTGAAACAATGATCTGTACCCTGTCTATTGTATTTTTAATAAAATGCTGATTGACCAGTAGCCAGTCAGGAAGTAGAGGCGGGGCAAGGAGAACAGGAGAATTCTGGGAAGAGGAAAGTCACAGTCTGCAGTCATCATCCAGACACAGAGGAAGCAAGATGTGACTGCCTTGCCAAAAAAAGGTACCAAGCTACATGGCTAACACAAACAAGAATTATGGGCTAATATAAGTGTTAATAAGAAGCCTGAGCTAATAGGCCAATCAGTTTATAATTAATGTAGACCCTGGTGTGTTTTCTTGGGACTAAATGACTGCAGGACCTGGTAGGACAGAAACCTTGGTCAACATTCTTGGACTTGGATATTATTTTCTGTGTGCCATACAAAATATCTCCAATAGATAATGTATATTATCAACAATGTTGGTGTTGATTAAAGTTGTTTTCAAATATTATATCAGCTATAGCTATCAATTTATGGAATTAGTGAAACTAAAGATAAGACTCAAAAACTCTTAAACTATCTAAAATTTAAAAGCTTTATTGCAATTGTGAAATTTAAAAATATTGTACTTTTTAATGCTTAAATTTAAAAACACTCAATGGATAGTTAGTTATGATTACCTCTACTTAAGACTACCTAAGTTTTACCTCTCATTCAAATAACAAGCCATATATACCTTATATCTAAGAGAAGAAAACCTACATAATGTGCTGGCTTTGTGGAAGCCTAGCCAGTTTGGATGTTCACCTTCCTAGAAATGGATGGAGAGGGGAGGACTTAGGACTTACCACAGGGCAGGGAACCCTGACTGCTCTTTGGACTGGAGAGGGATGGGGAGAGGAGTGGGGGGAGGGGGAGAAGGGTGGGAGGAGGGGGAAAAGGGTGGGAGGAGGGGGAGGGAAATGGGAGGCTGGGAGGAAGTGGAAACTTGTTTTTTTTTCTCCTTTTCTCAATAAAAAATGGAAAAAAAATTAAAAATTAAAGTGAATTCTGCATAAGCATTAAATATAGTGTAATAATTGCTAATACCATGCTACTCTGTTCCTAAGTATTATTTGAAATACTCTATTTGATTTTCTAAAAATCCTTAAGATATACCTATTGCTATCAGTGTGCTAACAGTTGAGAGAACAGAGAAGCAGAAAGTTAACTAAAGGCCCTATGCTAATGAAAGGAGAGACCTGGCATTTGAACCTATGCAGTTTGCTGTTAGAGTGTGTACGATTAAATTCTACCGTGTCCACTATATTATCAGTCCTTCTCATTGAAGACAACACATAGAAATGGAGTTTCTTTCTCATTCTGCTACCTGAATCAAAAACCAATTGTCCTAAGTCTCTGCTCTTGAGAACCTGCTCTGACTATCTTCTTGTCTTAGCATATCTCATATGATATGAATATCTATTTTTATTGTTGAGGGATTCCTCTCTGTATGCTGTGAATATGTTTTATTACCACTGGTTATTAAAGAAGCTGCTTTATCCTGTGGCAGGGCAGAATTTAACCAGGCAGGAAAACTTAAATGAATACAGGGAGAAAGAAGGCAATATCAGGCAGACACCATGTAGCCACTCAAGAAGCAAGATGTGAAGTAACAAACCATGAGCCTCATGGTAAATATAAAATAATAGAAATGGGTTAATTAAAGATGTAAGAGCTAGCTAGGAATATGCATGAGCCGTTGGCTAAACAGTGTTGTAATTAATATAGTTTTTTATGATTATTTGGGTTTGGGAGGACAGAAAATGAAAACATAGTCTCCTTTTACATTTTCTTTTCATTATGTAATTAAGTATAATTCCTTGGAACAGGTTTTATAGAAAAGATGGCAACAGTCTCTAGAATATTGGATGGATCGAACAAATATCTGTGCATGGACAAATGCTTCTCACCATTTTCAGGTATGCCTGTTGGCATCCTACACTGTACCAAAAAATCATATCTACATCACATCAGCACACTATAATTACTTTCATATCAACATTTTCCATTTTTCACAACTGAAAATTTTACATTTCTCTTTGTAATACCTATGGATTATGCATATCAACTACGCCACCAAAATAACAACTTACCTTCTAAATCTTCTTTCTCAAAATGTGTTTTGAGAATAGAACGTGTTCCACCTCTATCCACAACTGCTTCTTCATCATTTCTCTATAGAGTAAGGAAAAATGAAATAAAATAAATATATGTATACATATTCTCAATTTCAAAAAGTAAGCTTTAATATGACCTACTATTTAGATATTTAGTCTGCTAGATTATCAAATATTGAGTTAAAAGAGAAACTAAAATAAATTTGTCCAAATATTCAGAGTAATAAATTATTTGACTTCACATTGACAATACTCTTACTTTCCTGCTGGCATCACTTTTTAGTGAGATGAAAAACAGAAAATAAATCCTGTCAGTTTAGTAACGGTCACTATTATCCCTGATAAAGAACTATTATTAACAAGATCACATTTTTAACTATACAAGGAAAATATGAAAATCGTTAGTATTGACACCACAAATGTTACAGCGGGGTGAAATAATTCCACTTCCATTAAAAACTGATCTAGTCCCTTGAAAGCAATTAGTAGGCAATTATTAGATAATGAAAGCCCTAATTATTTTTGCTTAAGTGTGAGGCACCTTATTAAATTAGAGTATAAATTATTATCATGTACTTTAAATCTTCATTTAGTTTCCATATATATTTTCCAATTTAGAATGGCTAGACAGATACTACCATATAAACCTTGTACACATTCACAAAACATACTAAATAATCTGGAATTCAGACAAATAAGGGGAAAGCATTTAATGTAATCAGTGTGATCACCATGATGAAAAAGAACACAATACTAAATAGTGGAACTATTCCCAGATTTTATCTGCTTGTGAATATATGAAAAATTTAATTTTAACATAAACATTTAACATAACAGGAGAAATACTTCAAAGAGTGAAGATTCTGGGATCTGTTTTTAAGTCAATTCTAGTATGTGACTGGTTAAAAAAAAATCTTTAAAAACCAAAAAGTGCATTGTAAAAGGAAGAACCTTTTCTTTCTATCCATCCATTTACTTTGAACCGTCAGATATGGGTGACAACTTCCTTTCGCTGGAAATACAGTCTTTAACTAAGTCCAATACCATGTTATCATCCCTGAACTGGGATCGTTAAAGGCAAAGAGGACAAGTGGAACTGGTACACACATGACAGGACTTAGTTACCAAAGACAAGACATATATGTTTAGCATATGGAAAACAAAATCAAAATAGTGATAAAAAATGGTCTGATTCTCAGAGACCCAAAACACTCGTTGTTGATCAAGGAGTTTTAGAAGGGAGGCAAATGGACAGTTTGTTAAATTCTTATTTGATATATATGAATGAAGAAGTTCCAGGCTACATAAACCAAGTGTCTACTTAGACTTATCAAAGCATAGCAATGGCTGCTCTATCAGTTCCCATGCTTGATTCAATTTACAACTCCAAAGATTTAAATAAGAGAAAATACAGATCTACTTGACCAAAAATCCTGCTACACTGACCCAAATTTATAGTCTTTATCATAACCATCTCCAAAAGAACATACCACCTTTTACCAAGATGACTAAGCACTGAAAAAAGGAAATCAAACACAAGGGAGTTACTGGGTCCTGTCCCTGGACTGACACTAGTGGCAGGGAACTTATAGCTAGAGCAGGCTAGATGACTGTAAGTAATCATCAGAGTTATAGCTTATGTCCATCTCATGGGTCCAGTGGGTTCCGGAACCAAGCTTGTGTTTTTTTCTCATGAGGTCGAGTGAATAACAGAAAGAGACACAGGTTATGGTTAGAAAAGTGTTCAATACAAGAGTGATGGTTTTCTTTCAAGTCAGCCCTTTGCATAGCTGATGGCCGAAAGATAGATGCCAGTATAAAGAACTAAGACATGTAGGGGAAAATCAATTAAAATATTATATTAGCAAGTTCCAGAAAAGAAAATAGAATCTAAGTCCCTATGAAGGGACTCCATTTTCCTGAGATCTAAAAGGAGGATCGGGAGAGTTGATGTATATACTCTGAGAAAGAAGGGAACATTAAGTAAAGAAGTTCCTACTGCACAGCCTTGGGGCATGGGTAATATAGGCTTTGTTATTTATCAACTTAACAAAGTGAGTAGCATTGAAGAAATGAGCCACAGATAAGAATAAACACTCAAGCCGGGCGGTGGTGGTGCACGCCTTTAATCCCAGCACTCGGGAGGCAGAGTCAGGTGGATCTCTGTGAGTTCGAGACCAGCCTGGTCTACAAGAGCTAGTTCCAGGACAGGCTCCAAAACCACAGAGAAACCCTGTCTCGAAAAAACCAAAAAAAAAAAAAAAAAAAAAGAATAAACACTCAAAACACAAGCATCAGATATTATGCTGTAATTCGTTAATACTCACTATCTTCGTCTGAAGCATGAAAGGAAGTTAAGACCCCGTGAGAGAGACCACGGCAACACGACATGTATCCAGTTAACTTGTCTGAGTTGTTTACTAATTCTTTAACATTTTCAGAAGATTAGGCACTAGGCTGGTGGGGGCAGGGGGTATTGCATACTTGTCTGTTTTCCTACTGAAAAGATGAACTGAAGAGAGATGCTACGGCAGTATGAAGACACCATTGCCAGGGACATAAAACGGGGAAAAGTACACTTCACACATATTCCACTTTGTATCAAGTAAAGGGAAGTTCTCATGTCCATAAGAAGGACTGAATTATTTACACCTATAAATGCCTTTTAGTTACAGCAAATAATATTGGCAGTTTGGCACCCATTTCTTACAAATGTACATGGCCTTAAGATAAAGGAGTATAGATGTTTTTGACCTAACAAGATCAACTGTTGTGTGCTTCACATGTGCAAAATCTATGGTAGAAGGACATTTTTTAGCCTGATGTCCTATGTCTTTCTGAAATATCCCAGTAGAGATCATAAAAGAAATACATACTATGAATGAGAAAAAATTAGAGAGAAATGAAAATGAAGAATTAATAGGCTATTGGTATATTCTTTATTAAAATACATAAACTCTTAGTTTGAGAAGAAGAAGAAATAGAGAAAACCAATGGTACAATTTATGCAATATTCTGAACACAATAAAATTCAGTCCATTTAGAACTGATTATTACTGATAATTTTACAAATTGTCTTAATATGTGTACAAAATAAATTCAAATATGTATCACACTTAAATGCATTACTGTTCTTTCACATATTTTTACGCTAAAATTAAGTCATGCATCCACATTCAAAGGCCAAGAAAGCACTTTCCCACTTAATTGCTATGCATCTATCACATAGAAATGACATATTTGACAGGGGACCAAACTAATGCCTCATCTATGCTAATTTTTCGCTGTCTATGTCTCACAAATACACCTGATTTTCAAGAACAGGATTACAGATAGATGTATTTCAACCTAAAGTTATAGCCTCCAACATCCAAACAAATTATAATATTTCTTTTAAAGAAAAATAAACCAGAAGCTATACTGAAAATGACTTTGGTTTGATTTGATGTGTTTCATTCTGAAGTTTTTACATGCACAACTCCCTTAAATGTTTCTTGGATATACAATGAAGACATTATCGAATGAACCTTTGTCTAAAAATATCACAGATGCAAATTGGTATTAATTCATGTATTTAAAGTTCTCTACTTTGGTTATGGTTCAAAGATCAAAATTATCAGAGAGACCTTAAGCTTCATTTCTTTTTTTCTTGTTACTCGGCAAAACACTAAACAAGAATTGTGATACAGGGAATGTGGAGAGACCTATGGCTTTGAAGCTACTTTGAAGTTACTCCCAAATGTATAACAATGAACTTTAATTTTGTATTGAATCTCTCTAGATGTTTCTGAATCAGTGCAACCAACCTTCTGTAATTATTTACCCATGTTTGAGTCAATTTTAGCAGTGTATAAATATATGCTTGTCTTCAATACAATTTAACATTTCCTATGGATAAAATATATGTGTGTGTGTTAATACCTCTACATATGCATATATATGTATGTATATATATATATATATATATATATACTTTGAAAATTTCATATCTTTTGGTCATAGTCCCTTCCAACAAATTTCTCCCATATCCAAATTCCTTCTCTGCTCACTCACCGTTGTGTTCTTGTATTTTTTTAAGTTAATTAAATGCAATTTCTACTGCCCATATGTTCTTGGATGCATGGACTTCCACAAGACTGTTATCCACTAACTGGTGTCTGTACTCTTAGAGAAAACAGCTTCTCCCTCCTCCAGCAGCTATCATTTCCCAATAGATCCTCAGTTAGAGGTAAGACTTCCTGTCTACCTCCATTTTCCAGATTGGGGCTTGCAGAGGCAGGTTTATGTACACTGTGGGTTGTCTTCATAATCACTGTGAGGTGATGTGACACAGATGTCCCACTTGGGGCCAGGCATTCTGTACTTTCTTGTTCTCTGTGCCTTGGTTATTTATGGCTCTCTGACATATATCCATCATGTTCCAACCTTTAAAGGCAACTGCCTCCCTTTCTGACAAAAGGATAAACCTGAGGGACATTATCCTAAGGAAGCTAGGCACAGAAAGGAAAATACTGCACAAGCTTATGTTGATGTGGAAGCTTAAAACCAGAGCCAAAATCATAGGAATTAAAAGTTGGATGGTAGATGAGAAAAGGGAAAAGAAATAGGGAGAAGCAGGCAAAAGGGTAAAAGTTTGCTGTTATATGGAATTAAATGAGAAACCAATGTCTGTTCTTTTCACTGCAGTTAGCAGCAGTAAAATTGGCTGAGAAAAAAATTTATTTAGTATTCTGACACAACAAAAATTAGCTCTGGGAAGTAATAGTTATGTGAATGCAATAATACACTTTATTATATTAAGTATATATGTGTGTAATATATACATATATATATGATACTTTGATCTTTAGAAGTATTTCTAATTCTTTTAACGAGTTTTAAAGCTTTCTGTCAGTTTATATTTGTTAAACATGGCAAAGGTCTCCATAGAGACCTATTTGATAACCGTCCTAAGTTTTCTCTTTACTGGATCAAAATTTAAATTTTTTTCTTCTTAATATATTTTCTCTCATATTATACACCTGACCACAGCCTCCCCTTCCTCTACTCATCCCAGTT